ATGATTTTCAGGAGTGTTCTTCATAAAAGAAAAAGGCATTTTCCTTATAAAAGAAAGTGTCATATGGTTCGCAAAACAGCCGTAAATAAAAGTTCCTAGGCTGAGGTGTGTCAGCACGAGACTTACTTCCTCTATTCATAGGAAGTATTAACTTAGCTTCAGAACACACCATATATCGAAAATTGCCTGATTCTCTTGCAGGTCATTTGACTGACGTTCAGCAGGCCATCCATGACAGTTTTGCTCAGTATTTATCCTTGTTTCGAACTTCCTCGTTATTTGTTTCTTATCTAATTTGCGGATGTTTGTTTTATTTATATTGAAAAGCAAAATTCTATGGATGAACAACTTAAAACAGTAAACTTTTAGTGATACCAGCACAGCGTGTAGCCTAATGCCTCCTCTCCATGTAACATTACTTGTTTATCCACCTTGAAGAAACTGAGGACGATCGATTAAGCCGGCACCGCGTGCAACTTCGACAGGACCGCCATTCAGCGTTCTACTGACTAAGTTGCTCATGCACGCTGATTAAGCAAACATATCGTCTGCATGACTTTTGCAATAATACTAAAATGTTACGTAGCATCACTAATAAGAGCTAAATTTATACAGATAACAGTTGGTCACAACGTTTCAGCGAATATCACAGTAAAAACAAAGTATCAAACAGTTCTGATTGTTCCACCAATACCGGACATGTCCTGTAACTCATATTTTCCCTCCCTATCACGTTTCAGAAAGTGAAAAAAGCTGTCTGAGCAGCAGTCATAATCATCTAAATTCGGAGACGATTCGTCGTTGGTGCCTTCAAGGTTCGGCGTGAATCTGTCAGAAGATGCATTTGCATCTTGCGAGAAGCAAACACCAGAAACCGTTTTGGCAGTGTCAAAGCAGTTCATGTCATGTTCAGGATTAGCGTAGGTCAGCGTCCGAGAGATGTGTCTAAGTTCAGAAGCAAGCCTCTGCAAGAATAGATCCCTGCCTTTGTAGTCAAATTCCTCTAGGCAGTCCAGCGTATCTACATTACATTAGTCATATAAAGACATAAAATGATATGCTATTCATTAAACGATAACAATACAGTGCTACAAATAAGTTTCTGATTCATGATTGAGCGGACATCGAACTACACAGATTTTCACACTTAGTAACAAGGCGCTTCGCACACATTCCGCAGTTAGGGTACAATTAAGGCATAAGTGATTGTCAGTCAATTAGCCGTCTTACATAGGTGCGTGTTTGACGAATGTAAGATTTTTACCATCACATTCATAACCCGGAACTCGGGGTTTAATCGCAGCCACTCATTTCATGGTTCCATATTTTTCTCTTATCAAGATCGCATAATGGTACTTGAACTCTCAGTTATCACTACAGAGGATAAATATTGATTGCACATACACAAATAAGTAAGGATTCATGGCCAATTCAGTTACTGCTGCATTTGTAATTTAAAGCTAAGTTCTTACGTACTGTGCCCTCATGCCAGAGAAAACCACTTATGCTGGTCATTCGTATGTGGCTTCTAGCATATCGTAAAATACACACATTTACGGGCAAGGCAAACAGCGTAGGATCGTGAAACCCGTTGTGATAAAGTTACATCTTATGTCGATTTAGTCAGTTCATAGGTGAGTCAAGGAGGGTGACCTTGCATAAGAGAGCATAGTCCTACGTCTGGCATGCTCTAGTATTATCATGCCGGAATACCATGCTGTTCGTACTGTTCACTGGTAAGCGACTTGTACGTGAGCCAGTAGTCGGCTTATTGAACTGAAGCATAAATGAGTGAATTCCTTACTAAAAGAAATTGGCAACTAATAAAAAATTTTTATTGCGCCATTATTTGAACCTTGCAGCTCTGGCGTACGCATAAAGTACATAATCTTGGCGCCAGTGGTAGCCTTCTCCACCATATTTTTGACTAGATTACGTGCAACGCAAAGCTAAACTCTTCGCGATTCACAGGGATTACTTCGTGTATTAATTTTATCCCATCATTTTCCTTTTATGCGAATCAATTACGATGGATCAATCATAATTGACTGCAGACAATTATTAACCACTGCTTGTCTAGAGAAGTTAGTGTACATCACATTTACTTTACTTTTAAGGATCGTACGTGCCATTACTAAAGATATTTCTTTCAAAATTTGTAGGCAAAGTCAAATTTGCAGCAGGAACGATGGAAGGGAATCAATTACAATCAAGGAAAAAAGAATCATTGTCAAAATTTTCACTATAAATTATGTTACACAGTCGTAGCAAGTTTAAATATCGAAGAATGCCGGACGAGATATTAGCATAAAATGTAAAATTTACCTGCGAGAACGTCCAACTTTTCGGCTGCCAAAAGCGCGTTTCTTTCAACCACGCAAACACGGTCGCAAAGAAAATCCACGGAAGCAGATGTTGCTGCAGTATGCTACAATTTGATGAACGATGAGCATAAATAAACAAAACACCATCAACAGTAAGAAACACAAATTAACAAAGGGTCATCGCTGAGCACAGTGCTACTGAAAAAGTCAAAAGGTTAATTATATGGAGAATGGATAAAGACAAAATTACGGAACCAAATTGCTTGACGAATCAAAATCGCGGTCTGATTTCACTCCAGAAGAGATAAGGCCATTCTTCCTTCCCACTGGGCACAGTGTCTCAAACCGTAAAACCCAAAAGAAAAACAAGCATGTTCACTATTTATGATACGCCGTCGATGTAAATTTACAATGGTATTCTTGACGACTTTTACGTAGAAATTTGATATCACCATTACATTAAGGTTCGCATTTATTGATCGGCATTTGTTCCCTGCAGACATAATCATCTTTAAAGTTGCTGTCCATGTCACGTGCTAATGATATGATAGCTGATGGACAACAACTGTTACAGTAACTGCAGTAATTCGAATAAAGAACTGTCAAGAAATGTCTCTGCAGGTGGATAACAAAACGAAGTCACTCCACCTACGCAATTTGTTCATCAAAGATAAGAAGACGTTAGAGAAGATTACATGAATGTGCGAACTCAGTCGGAAGTACGTATATCATGCCAGATTGCGCATTCAGGATAAACACGTCACTTTCTCAATTGGAGGACAGAGCCATGCTGCTGATACTGCGAAAACTGAAGTATTAAGAGCTACCGAAAAAGTGACGGAATGCACCATGATGTCTCAGGACTCTACCCATGAAACTGGCTATACCAAAAGCTTTAACCAATCTGTGCAATTGTCACAAGCAATAGTTGGGAAATTGTCATTCATTCATAGCATGAAGCAAACAGTCAGGTGCCAGAGAGACAAGTCATGCATCGAACAATGATATCCAAACAGCCTAAATGGTTTTCCACTGCCGGAAGGGCACAAGAAGACGTTTGATAATGAGTATTTCTTTGTGCACGACGGTGGACTCGGTAAAGACTGTCCCGCTACTGTGGACTATCATCACAATCATCTAACTGATATGCCAAGGGGATACGGTATTCAACTTCATCTCATTTGTATTCTCCTTATTGCAAGACAGAACGGAGGCGAATACTAA